CTCAGCTGTTCTAAAAGGAAGCAAGGGAGGAATTGTTCTTCCCTGGACTAGTGCTTTAATGATCAGAAGAATGTTCCTTAGATCACAGTAATGAGGCAGTGGACAAACCCTCAAAGAATGTGGTAAATCAGAAGAATAAAATTTAGGCTACCAGGGAAGCCATGTTGCCTCACTTGAAGATTGTCCATCCAGGACTAAAATTTTGGTGTTCTTGGGTTGTTGTTTAACTTATCTTATATCCCCCTTTTCCTAGGGCTAGTCTGTTTTGGTCTTGTCTTCAAATGCGTGCAGACTCCAATTTGGGAATAGCACACTGAAGGCAACCTTCTTCTGACCCTTGGGAGTGTTCCTTCATCAAGTGCACTCAAAATGAATACAGAGAATCATGGGAGATCCTAGTTCTCTAAGAACTGTCAGTTAGATTGGGTAGCTGCGCATAACTAACATACCTTAGAGTGTATGGCCTTCTCTTATTGGTGTGTAGTACATTCTGCCTTGATCTTAAAGGGCAGCAATTTTATATGATTTCTTTTTGCATCTCTAGTGAATCTGTGACCAGTAATGTTTATTGAGTTCATGCATTGGTTGGGATACTTGTGGTAGGTTCTCTATAAGAATTTATTGCTACACCTTTATTTGAACCTAACAATCACATACGGAAATATATATATGAACTTTTACCGACATATGTAGTCCCTAGACCAGTGATTCTCAACCCTTGCTACTCTTGAGAATAACCTGAGGAACTTTCCCCAAACCCTGATTTCTATGTTCTAACCATAGACATTATTTTAATAAATCTGGGGTGGAAACCAGGAATATATATTTTTCAGAAGCTACCCAGTAATTCTGATATGCAACCAGAGTAGAGAACCACAGCCCTTTGAGTACCTGTGGAAATCTAGTAGTCAAAATAGAGAATATGAGCAAATATAGAAAGAAGAACAAACAAAACCAAAGTTAGTAGAAGGAAAGAAATGAAAGAGATCAGAGAAAAAAATAAATGAAATGAAGACTAAAAAGGAATAGAAAATACTAATGAAACTAAAAGCTGGTCATTTGAAAGATAAACAAAATTGATAAACCTTTAGCTAGACTTACAAGAAAAAAAGGGAGAAGGCCCAAATCAGTAAAATCGGAAATGAAAATGGATAATGCCATGTGCAGCAACATGGATGGACCTAGAGATTATCATACTAAGTGAAGTAAGTCAGAAAAACAAGTACCATATGATATCACTTACACGTGGAATCTAAAATATGACACAAATGAACTTATCTATAAAATAGAAAGAGACTTACAGATATAGAGAACAGACTTGTGGTTGCCAAGGGGGAGAGGGGTTGGGGAGGGATGGATTGGGAGCTTGGGATTAGTAGATGCAAACTATTATGTGTAGAATGGATAAACAACAAGGTTTGACTGTATAGCATAGGGAATTATATTCAATATCCTGTGATAAACCATAATGGAAAAGAATATGAAAAAGTGTGTGTGTGTGTATAAAACTGAATCACTCTGGTGTACAGTAAAAATTACCACAACATTGTAAATCAACTATACCTCAATAAAATAAAAAAATGAATAAGAGGTTATAACCAACACCACAGAAATACAAAGCATCATAGGAGACTACTATGAGCACCAATTTATACAACAATAAAATGGACAATGTAGAAGAAATGGACACGTTCTTAGAAAGGTACAATCTCCCTGGACTGAACCAGGAAGAAACAGAAAATATGAACAGAACCATTACCAGTACTGAAATTGATTCAGTAAACTCCCAACAAAGAAAAGTCCAGGACCAGATGGCTTCACAGGTGAATTCTACCAAACATTTAAAGAATAGGTTTTGAAACTATTCAAAAAAATTGCAGTGTAAGGAACACTTCCAAACTCATTTTATGAGGCCACCATCACCCTCATACCAAAACCAAAGATATCACAAAAGGAGAAAATTACAGGCTAATATCACTGATGAAAATAGACACAAAAATACTCAACCAAATGTTAGCAAACTGAGTGCAACAGCACATTAAAATGATCATACACCATGATCAAGTGGTATTTATCCCAGGGATGCAAGTATTTTTCAGTATCCACAAGTCAATCAATGTGATACACCACATTAACAAATAGAGTAAAAGCCATATGATCATCTCAATAGATGCAGAAAAAGCTTTTGCTAAAATTCAACGTCCATTTATGATAAAAATTCTCCTAAACATGTTCCTAGAGGGAACATACCTCAACATAATAAAGGCCATATATGACAAACCCACAGCTAACATCATACTCAACCATGAAAAGCTGAAAGTATTCCCCCTAAGATCAGGAACAAGACAAGGATGCCCACTCTTGCCACTTCTAGTCAAAATAGTTTTGTAAGTCCTAGCCACAGCAATCAGAGAAGAAAAAGAAAGAAAAGGAGTCCAGATGGGAAAGGAAGAAGTAAAACTGTGCCTGTTTGCAGAGGACATGATACTATACATAGAAAATCCTAAAGATGCCACCAGAAAACTACGAGAGCTCATCAGTGAATTTGGTGAAGTTGCCTGATACAAAATTAATATACAGAAATATGTTGCATTTCTATAAACTAACAATGAACTATCAGGAAGAGAAATTAAGGAAATAATCCCATTTACCATCACATCATAAAGAATAAAATACCTAGAAATAAACCTATCTAAGGAGGCAAAAGACCTGTATTCTGAAAACTATAAGATGCTGATGAAAGAACTTGAAGACAGCACACACAGATGGAAAGATATACCGTGTTCTTGGATTGGAAGAATGAATATTATTAAAATGAGCCTACTTTCCAAGTCAATCTACAGACTGAATGCAATCCCTATCAAATTACTAATGGCATTTTTCACAGAACTGGAACAAAAATTTTTAAAATTTGTATGGGAACACAAAAGACTGCAAATAGCCAAAACAATCTTAAAAAAGAAGAATGGAGCTGGAGAAATTACCCTTCCTGACTTCAGACTATACTACAAGCTGCAGTCATCAGAACAGTATGGTACAGACACAAAAATAGACACATAGATCAATGGAATAGGGTAGAAAGCCCAGAAATAAACCCATGCACTTATGGTCAATTAATCTACAACAAAGGAGGCAAGAATATACAGTGGAGAAAAGACTGTCTCTTCAATAAGTGGTGCTGGGAAAACTGGACAGCTACATGTAAAAGAATGAAATTAGAACATTCTCTAACACCATATACAAAAATAAAAATGGATTACAAACTTAAATGTAAGACTGGATACTATAAAACTCTTAGAGGAAAACACAGGCAGAACACTCTTTGACATAAATCATAGCAGTATTTTTTGGGATCTGTTTCCTAGAGTAATGGAAACAAAGGCAATAATAAACCGGACCTAATTAAACTTAAAAGCCTTTGTACAGCAAAGGAAACTATAAACAAAATGAAAATGCAACCTACGGAATGGGAGAAATATTTGCAAATGATGTGACCGAGAAGGGATTAATTTCCAAAATACAGAAACAGCTCATACAGCTCATTATCACAAAACTCAAACAACCCAATCAAAACCTAAATAGACATTTCTATAGAGAAGACATACTGATGGCCAAGAGGCACATGAAAAGATGCTCAACATTGCTAATGATTAGAGAAATGCAAATCAGAACTACAATGAGGTATTCCCTCATAGCAGTTAGAATGGCCATCATCCAAGTCTACAAATAATAAATGCTGGAGAGGATGGGGAGAAAAGGGAACCCTCCTACACTGTTGGTGAGGCCACTATGGATACAGTATGGAGGTTCCTTAAAAAACTAAAAATAGAGCTACCATATGATCCAGCAACCCCACTCCTGGGCATATATCCAGAGAAAACTCTTAACTTGAACACGTGCACCCCAATGTTCATAGCAGCACTATTTACAACAGCCACAACATGGAAGCAATCTAAATGTCCATGGACAGATGAGTGGATAAAGAAGATATGGTATGTATACACAATGAAATACTACTTAGCCATAAAAAATGAAATAATGCCATTTCCAGCAACATGGATGGACCTAGAGATTATCATACTAAGTAAGTCAGAGAAAGACAAATATATCACTTATATGTGGAATCTAAAAAAATGATACAAACTTATTTACAAAAGAGAAATAGACTCACAGACATAGAAAACTAACAGTTGCCAAAGGGGAAAGGGGGAGGGAGGGATAAATTAGAGTTTTGGATTAACAGATATACACCATTATATATAAAATATTGAATAAACAACAAAAACCTGAACAGCACAGGTAACTGTTCAATATCTTGTATAAAGGAAAAAAATCTGAGAAGGAATATATATGTATAACTGAATCACTTTGCTGTACACCTGAAACATTGTAAATAAACTATACTTCAACCAAAAAAGTCAAAAAAAGAGGATGTGTAGTGCCTTCTATTCTTTAGGGAGATTATGTGAAACAGTATAGCATACAGTTAAGAGCACTAATTTTGGAGCTAGGATATTTGGTTTCAGCGTGTGTAGCCACTTTCTAGCTGTTATCCGTAGACAAACTACCCAGTCTTTCAGAGGTCAGTTTCTTTATAAAATAGGGAGTATAGGCAGTATAGGGTTACAGTTAGGATTTATGTAAAGTCTTAGCACAGTACCTGTACTACAGCACACAATAAATACTGGCCAGATTTATTCTGGTGTACACACGTGCCACTGGGATTAGCCCGGATGAAAAAGCCTATTGAAGTTCACTTTCTCCAGGCAGCTCTTTAGGAAACCGCCGGGAGATGGAAAGGCTTCCTGGTCCCCAAGCTTGCCAAGTGAAAGATGCAAAAGCCATCTAAAAAGGGAGGGGACTATTTATTCTTGGCAGCACTTGCGCAACGACGGGCTCCAGTTGCTGCGTTCCGCGTGTCCACAAGGGGCCGCTCGAACTACCCAGGCTCTGTGCGCAAATCAGGCGACGCCCCGCGCGTGCTCACTCGGTGCCGCGCGGGCCTCTGAACCTCCGCGGACACCCTAGCTTTCGGCTGCTGCTGCTCCCCTGGCGGCTTCCCTTAACCAAACCTCTTGCGGGTGGGTACGGCAGCTCTTTGGGGACAAAAGTCTTCCCTCTTCGTTGCGCTCTGCTTCGTACTTCGTATTTTGGGCAAATCTGAGAAGGCAGGTATTAGCGCCTCCATTGAGCTGCTACCAGAGAGGTAGGAGAAAGGCTGAGCCTGGCGCGGAGTGCGGGCTGACTGGGGCCTAGGCCCGCGAAACGCCGTCGCTGCCCGGATGTTGCGATGGCTGATCGGGGGAGGCCGAGAACCTCAGGGACTGGCCGAGGTAAACCCCGGGGTGGGCCCTGCCTGCCAACGCAGAGGCTTTGCTTGCCGTAGCTGCGGCTTGTGTGAGCCGGAGAGCTGACGGGATGAGGAAGACCCGGCGGAGGCGGGGCCTGCGGGTTGCGAGGGCGGGGTCGGCGGGGTCGGGTTTCGGGGACTCTTTCCCTGAGAGGTAAATCCATGTTCCACTAGGTGTGGAAACTGAAACTGACGTAGTTCAGCAACAGGCTCAAGGACCCTTAACTGGTCTCCCCACGTAAACCAGTCTCACTTCAACAGAAAAAGTATCCGGTTTGGTAGAGACTAAGAAACGGTGACTGCAGATTTACACTTCTGGTTTGTTTGATATGGTGTCGCTTCCCAACATCAACTGATGCTTGCTCGTGGAATATGAAATTAATTTGATTATTTATATAAAACCAAAAAAGATATAATTATTTTAAAAAATAATTTGTTTAAAAGTAAAATAAATTATGTTTTAGCTGCTATTTTGGGTTCCATAGTCACACTTTCTTCATGGGCCTGAATAACTGACCAGACTAATGAGATTTACATTTGAAATGTTGCGAATAAAATAATTTTGGAACCTGAAAAGTGTCGAGGTCTGGAATTTATTTCATATGCCACTGAAGAATAGAATTTATGTTGAATTCCCTTTTATTTTTAATAGAAAATAGTTGTTTTGATTGTTAAAAAAAAAAACTTGGGTGGTTGTAAGCTAAGCAACGTTATTTCTCCGTTTTAACTTCCTCATATTTTTGCAGTTGAGGCTTATTGTCTAATTTTTAAGAAGTATTTCTTATTTAAAATTAGGCTTATTTCAGATAGGCTTGAATTCTAAAGATTATGAAAGAATTGTGGAAAAGTGATTAGTCCATTTGTGATATATATGACAATTATGTGTTAACCCGATTATTTGATAAGTTGTAGAATTTGATTAACTAATTCTGCCGTGCTTGGCAAGCTTTCATTTGGGGGAAGTGGTATACAGTTTTCAGATTTCTTGCCTTTACTTTTCTCATCAGAACCACTGCTAGAAGGGAGATGGGATAAATAAAAAATTACTGCTTTGAAGGTGAATTAAAAAAAATTCATGCGTGTTAAATTGTACATTTCTTCATGTAAAAGTACTTCAGTTTTAGAACTGCTGTGAATCTGTACATTATCAGAACCAAAGATTTTCCCCTAATTTTAAGCAGTGTTTGTCTGCTGGGATGATTTTGCCCCTTAGAGGACATTTGGCAATGTCCAGAGATATTTTTGATTGTCACGATTTGGGGGTGGGGGGAGAGGTTGGATTTCTATTGGCATCTAGTGTGTAGAAGCCAGGGATGATGTTGAGCATCCTTCAATGCACAGGAAAGCCCTCAACAAAAAAATTACCTAGTCCAAAATGTCAGTAGTGTCAAGTTTGAGAAACTGCAGTTCAGAGGTTAAGAACACAGGTTTTTTTAATCTGAAATAGTACTGGGTTTGACTATAGAAATGGGGTTGATAAGATCTACCTTACAGAATTATTGGGTGAGTTATAAGCCATATGTGCTTTACCCAGTGTGTGGCATATGGACTGCCGCCCACCTGTTTGCAAATAGGGATGAAGGTGTGTAGGTTTAGGACTGAGCTTAATACTCTGTAAATGTTACCAGTTATCTTTATCAATGCTACTGTCTGAAGTTGAATTTATTGAATTCATTGACTGAATTATTTCATTTCTTCCTTTATTTATTCAGTAAACATGTGTTGAGTGCCTGTAATGGCGTAGGCACTGTTTTAGTCTATATTTTACCCCTTTGACCTTCAGTTTTGTTTCTGCCAAGTTTTAATTGGCAAACACCCATCCTAAAATATTGTGTTGGTTTGGCCCATTGATTTTTTTTTTTTTTTTTTTGTGGTACGCGGGCCTCTCAGTGTTGTGGCCTCTTCTGTCGCGGAACACAGGCTCTGGACGTGCAGACTCAGCGGCCATGGCTCACGGGCCCAGCCGCTCCGCAGCATGTGGGGTCCTCCCAGACTGGGGCACGAACCCGTGTCCCCTGCATCTGCAGGCGGACTCTCAATCACTGCACCACCAGGGAAGCCCCTGGCCCATTGATTTTTTAGGTCAGGTTTATTGAGGTGTAATTTCCATGAAACAAAATACACCCTTTAAAAATTTATTTTGAGTTCAAAATTTAAAATTTATGATGTGGATTTGTGGTAAGAGAAATGTTTTATGTTAAATTGGCAGTTACTTGATATTAGGGGAAATAATATATAGTATTAGAACATAATATCTTACAGTTTTTTAAAACTTGTGTTCTTAGATGCATACCATGTGTTTTATTCGAATGTGGTCTTTTATCATAAATCATTTTATCTCTTTTTTTCTCTCTTTTTTTTCTCCCCATTACAAGCAATCTCCTTTACAAACAATAGGTGAAGAACAAACCCAGAACCCCTACACTGAACTGCTTGTACTGAAAGCTCATCATGATATTGTACGGTTTCTGGTACAGTTAGATGATTACAGGTAAGAAACTCTAGTTTTCCAATTGACTACTGTTTGGAAAGAGTTTTTAGGGAATTGTATGTTAAAAACAACTTCAAAATTAATCCAGCTTTTCTAAAAATTTCAAAACTGATCATTAATAACATTTAGTAGAAATTGACCTCTGCCTCTTGATGAAATATGTGTCTGAAGTCTTTTTGCCCAAAAGTCGGGATATCATTTCTGGTGATCTTATTTTTGTTTGTTTTTTTTTTTTTTGGTCTTTTTGAATACTCACAAATATTTTCATTAGTTTAAAGGAAGTGTATGACTTTAAAATGTTGATGGGAGTTTTAACTATGTTAAGGTGAAGCTAAATTTGAGAACCAATATGGGAAATGTTTAAATATCAGGTACCTTCCAGGAATGTACTGTTTTTAGTGGAAGGTAAGGTAAGGATTTAATCTGAATTTTTTGTTATTTGTGAAACCCTTTAAAATGTACATTATTCTGTACTTCCTTGCTAACATGTATAATATTGTGTTTAATATATTTGCAAATAGAGATGAAGGTGTGTAGGTCTTAGAACTGTAGATTTAGCTTATTATTGATCTGTATATCTGTTTTATTAAGACTTTGTTCAATTATACAGTTATCCTTTGTAGCCTTAATAACAATTACACAATTAATTGTGTAACTGTATAATATTTATCTTCCTCTCTAGATGAGAGTGAGGGCCATGTTTTTTTTTTATTCACCACAGTATCTTTAGTACCTGGTACAGTGCCTTACATGTAGCAGGTTATTAATAGTTGTTAAATGAATGAATGATTCCCTCAACTATTAAGTGTACATGTTGCATGCCATCCTAACTCTCTAACTCCACTTCTCTTGTCCTTATCAGTTATTCCCCTATCATCTCTTAATTTTCTCTTTTGCCTTTGATACTGTCTTCTTTTCCTTCCATTTTTGACTCAATGGGTGACTGCTACTGTGATTATTTCTAATTCTCACTATCACTGCTGATGTTTTTTAACCTTGTCTTCTCTTTGCTCTTTTTATGTTTTTGGTATTTAGTTGCTTTTCCCATGTGCAGTGCAATTCTGGCACTACCTGGAGTTAGGTTGAATTTTAAAGGTTAAGGGCACAGTCATGTACAACAGTCCTTTCACCTCAGTCACAGCTGCAATCTCCAGGGTTCCCAGGCCACCTGCACTTCTGACCAATTAACTACAAATTCCTACTACCCCCTCAGGTTTGATAATCCTCTAGAATGACTAACAGAATTCAGGAAAGCACTATACTTATGATTACAGTTTTATTATAAAGGATATGATCGGGATTAGCCAAATGTAGAGATGCATAGGGCAAGGTCTAGGAGGGTCCCAAATGTAAGGCTTCTGTGTCCTCAGGACACATCACCCTTTCAGCACATCAATGCATATCACCAGTGAGGAAGCTCACTCAAGCTCTGGGTGTCAAGAGTTTTTATTGGGGTTTCATTACATGGGAATGATTGTTTCACTTATTTGCCTCATGATTGAACTCAATTTCCAGCCCTTCTCTCCCTGCCATCCCCTCCTTGCTCCCCCAGGTTGGGAGGTCAGGATGATACCCCATGGCTCAAAGCCCCAACCCTCTAATTGCATGGTTCATATTCCCCACATGGCCAGTCCCCATCCTTAAATTGTCTAGGGGTCCACCATGAGTCATCTCATTAGCATAAACTCAGGTGAGCTCTGAGGGGCCCAGCTCTCTTTTAGAAACCAGGGACAAGTCCAGCCAAATTATTATGAAAATATGCTCCTCAACTTTTGCTTGAAAGGATTTGCCTTTTTTTGGTATTACTAGCCTATTAACACAATTTTCATGTTGTGATGTGAGCCAACCAAATTATAGCATGTCAGCCATAGTATAATAATCTTCACCCTTTTTGGTAATACTTACTGTTGCCATGTCCTAAGAGACATTTACTTATTTATTTAGTCAGTCATCTTTGAAACTAAACATTTTTGGAAAGATAGGACATTTGGACAACTAAAGTTTTCTGGTACCGTCTTTTACCATTGTAAGATGCTAAAACGTAAGTTAAAAAAAAAAACCAAAATGATTTCTTAGACCATAATCCCTAATATTTGGGCTTTAAGGAGTCCTCAAATAGTTTTGTCTAAGAAAGCTAAATACAAAATATACAGTATACTTTCAGGATGTGGTCTTTAAATTTTTTTTTAATAGATTAACTGTTAAGATTCCATGTTGATTGCTATCTGTCCTTTAAAATATCTTCTTGATTATTCTTACTACATAGTTAGAAGAATCTGCAGAAAAGGCCATCTTGTAGAGTAATGATCATTGTACAGGTACTGATATTTGATTACATTTTCCCAAAGTAGTGCTTGTGTATACTGCAGTTATTCAATGATATAGTAAATGTTACATAAACAGTAAAAAGCTGTAGGTGAGTATATCAGTAATCTGTTGTCCTTGTCAAATATCAGCCCAAATTTAGTAGTTTAAAACAAACACTATTTATTTATTTCACTATTCTGTGGGATGGCATTTGGGTTAGGCTCAGCTGGGTGGGTTCTTTTGTCTCTGCTGGGATCAGCGGATCTTGGTTAGGTTCGCTTATGCTTTTGTGGTCACCAGGTAGATGGGGTTGGCAGGTTTACAGTGGTCTCAGCTGGGATGACTGGGGTCTCTCTCCATGTGGTTACTCAAGTGCTAGTTCCCATAGGGATGGAGTTCAAATACCAGCAAAAGGGCAAGCCCCAGTGTAAAACTCTTTTCAAGTCTGTTTTCATCATGTTTGATGTTGTCTCATGGGCTAAAGCAAGTCAGGAGCTGGAGTGAATTCAGTAAGTTGATAAATAAACTCTACCTCTTGATGGGAGAAGCAACTAAATCCTACTGCAAGTGGTGGTGGAAATAGGGAGATTGGTGGCCATGTTTGCTGTATACCACAGTGAATCTAAATGTCTAGAATAGATTTTTTTAAAAAGCCTACTTTTTGGCTTTTGCTGTCAAGTGAACATATTACTACATGAACCACATTTAATTCTTTGTACTCAAGTCATGACTTTGTCAAAAGTTACATATAATTAGGTATGAAGTTTTTTACTCAGTTGCAGACCTGAAGAACTTTCAATCTGTTTTGTTTTAAAAGATTTAATTCTGTAGTGTACTAGAAAAACAAAACAAAACTGAAAGAGTCATTATTGGTAAGAAATACATTTAAAAATATACAAATGATGTAACTATTATAAATAGTAGAGCTCAGTGTTTTCATTCTTGATTTAATAGTTTAGATAATTCAGATATCTTTTTACTGTTACATATGTATATTATATATGCATTGTCATTATAGAAATATCTTTCCAGTTTTTAAATAAATATTGTTATACTTTTTATGTTTTTATTTAGTTTTTATAGACATCACATTCTGGGTTTTTGGTCAGCTGTTGTAATCCAGGTTTCACGCTTCAGGTCTTTAGATAATATCATTTTATTGAGAATTTTGCTGAAGGATTTTCTTGTTTTCTCAGTGGCTCAGCTAAAAGCAGTGAGTGGAAAATTTTCTCAGGTTGGTTTTTGAAGATACCAAATAAATCCTGTATAACCTAACAGACAGCAGCCTTTTCTTATCTTCTTTAGTATTTTTTGAACATAAAGTGAGGGTCATATTGATTGGGAGATCACTAAAGAAGGCTAAGCCTCAGCAAGAGTCATCCAAAAAGTGGACTGTGCTAAAAATTGCATGTAATACTTTAGCATTTGACACATTAAACTAAACTGAGTTCATAACACATTTTAAGAATAGTTTTCTCTGTTGCTCATTTGACCATCCCTTGCTCCTCCAGGAAACAGACAAGGTTATGTAGGATGGTGATCATGACTGGAAAAGAATCAGATGACCCATGAAATGCCAGACTGAAGGAAAAAAATGCACTTTAGGTTGACTGGTGAAGCTGTACATTCACAAGAATCTAGACAAACTCAGTACAGTTTGATAATTCACTAACAGCAAACAGTATGTTACATCTTTAAGACAATGTTCTAAAGCTAAGAATATCTTTTTCACTAACACTTAGAGAATAGAAATCAGTAATCAAGATCATTTAGATCCTCCTAATACCTGGTTTCCCTGGGAAGTAGACAGTAAAATGGAATTAAGCATGCAAAAGGTTTATTAGAGAGAAATACCATTGAAGGGAAAAGGGAAGAAGCAGGATTGGACAAGGGGAGCTGTCTCAAACTGTGATGCAGATTTGACAAAGTCTCTGTAAGCCCAATGTGGAGCTCTGGAGGAAAGAATGCTCTTTAGATGAGTCCTGCATTAGGGAAATAACTAGGAGTGTTTAGCCTGCAATGCTTAGACATTGGCTGAGGGCCATCCAAGAACGTGCCCTGGCTTCCACCAACTTGCTTATATCCCAGGGGCTGGGGGCCAACTGAGATAGTTTGACTTCAACTTGAAAGCTGAAATGGACCCTGAAGTCAACAGCTGGAGGCAGATAACCATATTCCTCATAGCTGGGCAGCAAGTCCTCTCTTGAAGGGGTATCTGCAAGTCAAGATCTATACTGCCTTTCTATACAAACTCTGTCTTGAGATCAGTAATGTTGGATGAGAGGACATTTTCTTTATAGAAGAATTCAAGTTAGGAAGAATCATGGAATTGGAATATTATAATTTCGCAACCTCTAATATAATAACAAATTTAGGCAATGGTTATTGATAGCTGTTAACATCACACACACACAAAAAGATTGCTGGAAATTGTATTTCTTGTTGGGGTACATAAACTGCTTATGAAGTGGTCTTACCAAAAAGTCAAATTCAAATATGATTAAGTCTTTAGATCTCTCAATTTGCTAGAAACGCAGGGGACAGAGGTGTATATCAAATGACAACATAAGAAGGTAGCTAGCAAAATCCAGACTGTGAGAACTCTGTAAGACAAATGTTTAATTGCAAGGAAAAACATACATGAAGAAAGAATCAATAGAACAAGAGAGACTTTAGAGATCAGTTGCAGCGTA